CTGCGAAACTGTCGCCACTTTCGAGGGCTGCTGGTGGGTCCAGCGGAGTGGGGCACCGCGCGGACCTGAGGTAGACCTCGCCGTCCCTTGGGGGGCTGCGATCTGCGAAACCGTCGCCACTTTCGAGGGCTGCTGGTGGGTCCAGCGGAGTGGGGCACCGCGCGGACCTAAGGTAGACCTCGCCGTTCATGGGGGGTGCGATCTGCGAAACTGTCGCCACTTTCGAGGGCTGCTGGTGGTTCCAGCGGAGTGGGGCACCGCGCGGACCTCAGGTAGACCTCGCCGTCCTTGGGGGCTGCGATCTGCGAAACTGTCGCCACTTTCGAGGGCTGCTGGTGGGTCCAGCGGAGTGGGGCACCGCGCGGACCTAAGGTAGACCTCGCCGTCCCTTGGGGGGCTGCGATCTGCGAAACTGTCGCCACTTTCGAGGGCTGCTGGTGGGTCCAGCGCAGTGGGGCACCGCGCGGACCTAAGGCAGACCTCGCCGTCCCTTGGGGGGCTGCGATCTGCGAATCTGTCGCCACTTTCGAGGGCTGCTGGTGGGTCCAGCGGAGTGGGACACCGCGCGGACCTGAGGTAGACCTCGCCGTCTCCGGGGGGCTGCGATCTGCGAAACTGTCGCCACTTTCGAGGGCTGCTGGTGGGTCCAGCGGAGTGAGGCACCGCGCGGACCTAAGGTAGACCTCGCCGTTCCTGGGGGCGGCTGCGATCTGCGAATCTGTCGCCACTTTCGAGGGCTGAGTGAGGCACCGCGCAGGCCAGAGGTAGACCTCGCCGTCCCTGGGGGGGGGCTGCGATCTGCGAAACTGTCGCCACTTTCGAGGGCTGCTGGTGGGTCCAGCGGAGTGAGGCACCGCGCGGACCTGAGGTAGACCTCGCCGTCGTTTGGGGGCTGCGATCTGCGAAACTGTCGCCACTTTCGAAGGGCTGCTGGTGGGCTCGCCACTTTTGAAGGTTGCTGGTGGGTCCAGCGGAGTGAGGCACTGCGCAGACCTGAGCGGGGCCTCGCCGTCCCTGGGCGGCCATGTCATGTTGTTGCTGCCCCGCCGACGTTTCAAGCCCCTTGCCCACAGTCTCCATTTGGACCTTGCGTCTTCCTTAGTGTCTCGTGGGTTCACTTAGTTACTTATCGTTTTCCCCTTGATTGGGGACCTGCGAACCTTCCGAATGCCGCTCGCAGAGGTATATGCGTCCATGTCACGTCGCCGCCTTCTCGTCACATCTCCCAAGCTACTCCTGCCCCGCATTGCGCAGGGGCTGGGTACGTCGCCAGTTTGTTGTTTTTGTTTGTTTTTTTTTGCTCAGTGTATTTACACACATATTTACATATATATATATATATATGTATGTACTACTCTCTCTCCGTGTGTATACATATATATATATATATATGATCCCGGGCTCCAGGCCCACGGGCCCCCCCCCCTCCCCCCCAGATGGTATGGTCACAGGATTCCTCGGGCCCCCCCCCCTCCCCCCCAGATGGTATGGTCCCAGAGACGACGACGACGACGACGACGACGACGACGACGACGACGACGACGACGACGACGGCGACGACTACGACGACGGCGACGACGACGACGACGACCACGACGACGACGACGGCTGCGGCGGCGACGACGCCGGCGGTGGCGGCGGCGACGACGACGATGACGACGATGACGACGGCGACGACGACGATGACGATGACGACGACGACGACGACGACGACGACGACGGCGACGACGACGACTACGAGGACGACGACGACGACGACGAGGACGACGACGACGACGACGACGACGACCTCTGAACCACCACAGCACCACACCACATCCACAGGGGGGGGGAGGGGGCACCGCTGCGCAGCACCACGCCACGCCCACCTCTGAACCACCACAGCACCACACCACATCCACAGGGGGGGGAGGGGGGCACCGCAGCGCAGCACCACGCCACGCCCACAGGGGGGGGCGGGGGGGACCATCGCGCGGGGGGGGGGGGCCCAATGGCATCAGCATTGGGGGGGAGGGGGGGGGGGCCCAAGCCCTGGACCATATGTATATCCCTCTCCCTCTCCCTCTGCCTTGCAATCTTGATTTGGTAATTATTCACGCTTTTGGCTGCTAACAAGAAAGTATCCCCACCAGCAGGTCAATTAGTTCTACTCGAAGCCCGAGCTGACTTGTGACGCCGTCGGCACCTTCGCCTGCGGTTGCGACGAAAGATCCCCACCAGCCCGTTCAGAAGCCCTGCCCATGAGAGCTAACGGGAAATGAGACGAAGGGACAAATATAGTGAAATAGAGTGGGCAACCAAGATGGCCAGAGAGATCTCTGGGAGCAAAGGGGGTGGCCTTGGAGAGCCTCTTCGGGCCATCCCTGGGGCCCGCAGGGGTGCGAGGGGGGGAGGAACAGGAGGAGGAGTAACAGGAGGAGGAGGAGGAGGAAGAGGAGGAGGAGGATGAGGAGGAGGAGGAGGAAGAGGAGGAGGAACAGGAGGAGGAGGAGGAACAGGAGGGGAGGAACAGGAGGAGCAGGAGGAACAGGAGGAGGAGGAGGAGGAGGAGGAGGAGGAGGAGGAACAGGAACAGGAGGAAGAGGAGGAGGAGGAGGAGGAGGAGGAGGAGGACGCTCTTGGGGCGCTCTTGGCCCCAGGTCTTGTGGCCCTCTTGAGGCCCTCGTGGGGCCCTCCTGGGGCCATCTAGGTCCCCCCTTTTCTGGGGCCCTCAGAATCGTCTCTAGGGCCCCTCTTGGGGTGCTCTTTGGCGCTCTTGGGGCCGTCTGGGCGGCCTCTTGCGGCCTCTCTGGGCCGTTTGGGCTGCCTTGGAGGCCATCCTGGAGCATCGGAGGCCCTCTGGGAGCCGTCTTGTGAGACAGAAAGGCCCTCTGAAACACATCGCACACCCCCAGCACTGAATATAATAACTCGGGGAGGAGATGGAAAGGGTACCCCGCCCCGAAAGGGAGAATGGTTTTGGGAGAGGAGCTAAAGGACTCGTCAGACCACCGCCTACGCCCAAAGGGTTTGTGGGATTACGCTGTGCGCAGTGAGTACAAGCAGCGGAATGTACCGTGTGGGTGTCTCGCTTCAGGATGCCGCCGAGCAGAGGGTGAAGGAGCAGGAAGCCATAGAGAAGCAGGACCCTCGTGCACGGCGCTTGCGATGCTTCCCCTTTGAGGATGTCGTTTCGGATGAACTTGACAGCCACGGCTGCTGAACCTGTTGTGTACCCCATGCCTTCGAGATCAGGATGTTAGGGGCAATTGCTCATGTACCATCGAGCTTCGGTGCCGCCAGTTCGCTCTGGTAGTGCAATGATTGTCGCAGCCTGCCAGCCCGCCGCCAGGCTTTCGACGATGCTGCGAAAGCAGCGGCCAAGCGTGCAGAGGCACTGAAAGCCCAGAAGGCCGACCCCGCGCTCTCAGCAACGCCACACTGTGTAACATGCACTACGGATCAGTTTGCCGAACTTCGCTACCGAATGCAGTTGATGAGTCATTTCCTGACCTCCCTTCTGAGGATTTGGATCTGTCATGTCTATCGCGGCTTCAGGGCGTTTCGTCTCTCCAATTTGTGACGGTCTCGCTTACTAGTCTGTTTCGGGGTGCGAGGCTTCAAGCACCGTCACATTGCGCATCATTGCGATTAGTGCATCTGCATGTACGTATACTCATAGATGGACAGAGAGAGAGAGAGAGACAGACAGAGAGAGAGAGGCAGGCATACACATACTCACGCATATATATATATATATATATATATATATTCATAGAGAGAGAGAGAGAGAACGAGAGAGAGAGAGAGAGAAAGAGAGAGAGAGAGAGAGAGAGACATAAAGAAAGAGAGAGAGAGAGAGATGGAGCCACACTGCTGATACCTGATGAGTGTGGCAAAGTGAGAGAGGCCTACTGGCAGTTATTTGTGCAGTTATCTAGATATCGGTAAACAGGCCTGACATGTTTTCCGCTTGCAGCGTTTTGCCGACATGCAGTGGTGATGTGAGGACAGACAACGCCAACGCAGGTAAGTGCATCATGCAGAGAACGAGCTCGACAATGAAGTGACGGGGGAAACATTCGAGTGCATGGAGTGGATTTGAAACGAGATCGCAGATTATGATGATTATTGCGTGGACTTGCTGTGATCTTCTTACGGCCATGGCCCTCCCCCCATCTGCCAGATTGGAAGCAATCCTTTCAGCACTGGCGGAAAAGGACGCGCTCCGTTGGCAGGGCACTGCTGCCAGCACTGCCTGTGAGCACCAGGGGCCTCTGCTGCACGCGCAGCGTCGGGAGCTCGTTGGGTGCGTGCGGTGGCCTGCCGTGAGAAGGGTGTTCATGCCCCAGCCAGCGCTGGGGAGAGTCATTTTGTCCTTCTACCGCCTCCTCTGGTCCCTCTCCTCCCGCCTCCCGGAGGATGGAGGACGAGGAGGATAGAGGAGGAGGATGGAGGATGGAGGATGGAGGATGATGATGATGATGATGATGATGATGATGATGATGATGATGATGAGGAGGAGGAGGAGGAGGAGGAGGAGGAGGAGGAGGAGGAGGAGGGGGGAGGGGGAGGAGGAGGAGGAGGAAGGGAGATGGGGGGGAGGAGGGAGGAGGAGGAGAGGAGGAGGAGGAGGAGGGGAGAAGGGTGGGGAGGATGAGGGGAGGAGGAGGAGGAGGAGGGGAGTTGTGTCTATTGATCTGTGTGTCTATTGATTGGTGTGGTCCCAGGGCCCCTTCAAAGAGTGAGCTCCTCCAGGTGAGGGCTACGGGGGGGGGAGGGGCTGACCGTCGACCCCCCCCCCCCCGAGGAGTCGGAGGACCAGGCGGCCTCCGACTCCGAAGGGGAGGCTCTTTCAAGGCATCGTCCTGGGGTCAGCCCGCTCGTAAACTCTCCTCCTCCTCCTCCTCCTCCTCCTCCTCCTCCTCCTCCTCCTTCTCCTGAAGAGGCCACGGGGAGTCGGCCTGGAAGGCAACTCTCCGGCGATCGCAGACGTGGATTAAAGGGGGCGCGGATTCGCGGCGGGCCCCGTTTCCATGGGAAGCCGGGGATTTCCGCCGTCGAGCGAGGCGGCACCAGCCGCATTTTGGGGAGGGCGCCTCCCCCGATCCATGGATTCGGCTACCGCGCACCAAATCCATGGATCGCTAATCCATGTATGCGCGCCCCCGAACAAAAACCTCCCCCTCCTTGCCTCACCCAACCCCCTGGCCGTTTGGGCCTCGGGGGATGTGCAGCAGACGCAGCGTGCTTATCTCTCGCCTGCCGAGCAGGTTTCGCCGACAGGTTCGCCGCGCTGCCTGGCGAAGCCCAGGCGCATACACATTAGGACATCAGCATGCGCGTGAACAGCACGCGTTTCCACCCCACTGTGTCCCTTCCTTTCTCCTCTCTCTCTCTCTCGCTCTCTCTCTCTCTCTCTCTCCTGCTCCTGATCCTGTTCGAGCTTGGGGTCACGTTTGATCCCCGATGTGCGGGCCTTGAGTTTCCTCATCCTTCCATCCTTCTTTCCTCTATCTCCTTTTCTTCCCTCTTTCCACGCCAGAGTCCGTATTGAATTCTTCGGGCCGGGTGCATGTGTGATGATTTGCGCCTCCTGTGCGCACTTGTTTTCGGTTGCACGCGGAGTGCGTTGTGGACTCGTGCTTGCCTCGCCGAGATCTTCGTCTTGACGCGGCCGCTCTGCTTAGTTCCTCCATCTGCATGGGAACAAAGCAGGATGTCAGACGGAGCCTTGAGAGGCGCAAGTCGTGATCTCGTTGTGTTGAGGTGGCGCCGTGCTGTGTCGTGTTGCGTCGTGCGGCGCCCTGCCATGGGTCTAGGTGGCGCCTTGCCTGTGCAATGCCGTGGTGTGTGACGCAGTCCCGTGGGACGCAAATCATGATCTACCTTTGCGAGGGCGTCGGCGTTGTTTTTTTGCGCCTCTCCGTGCCGGGCCGCGTGGCGCCGTGCGGCGGCTTTGGGGGGGGGGGGGCTGCGGAGCTCTGGGCTCCGGGTGGCGCACACCACGCAAGTCGGAGATGTCAGGCCACCTGTGGAAGAGGCATGCTGTTCAGGGTCTCTGTTGACATGGTGTTCAGGGTCTCTTTTGGCGGGGCGAGGTTTGGATGACACGCCCTGGTGGCTGTCAGCGTATCCACACTTGCCTGCGGAAGCAGTGGCGAAAGCCATGGCGGGCTATGCGCAAGGGCCCCATGCGGCGCATGCAGCTGATCGACGTGCTGCACACGCATGGGGAAAGGGAGGATAAGGTGGAAGATGAGGAGAAGTAGGAATATTAAGAGCAGGATGATGATGATGATGGTGGTGGTGGTGGCGATGATGACGCTGCTGACGATGATGACGATGATGACGACAGTATCGGTGATGATGGCGATGACGCTGACGATGCTGATGATGATGGTGATGATGATGGTGTTGGTGAAGTTGATGGTGATGTTGATGATGATGCCGTTGTTGATATGTTTGATGTTGATTATTATGACTATGATGGTGATGGTGATGGTGATGATGATGATGATGATGCTGCTGCTGATGATGATGATGATGCTGATGATGATTCATATTGTTATTATTGTTGCTATCTTCTCTGATGATGATGATGCTGATGACGGTGGAGAAGCAAAATGAGCAGGAGGATCTGCTTGAGGCATGAGAAGAGTATGAGAAGGCGGAGTCTGACGAAAGGGAGGACGAAGTGGACAAACTGAGTGGGGGGAGAAGTGGGACGAAGAGGATGAGAATCAGAGGGTTTGGAGGAGGGGAATGAGTTCGCCCCGCGCGGGGCTGATGATGCCGTGTGGGTGAGTGCAAGGGAGAGGGACAGAGACAGAGAGAGAGAGAGGACGAGAGCGGACAAGTAAACGGGAGTCCCGTCGACAGCCGGCTACTGCTTTTGGCGGTGGTGCTTTTCTTGGGGAACGGGGAGTTCTGAAATAACAACACCCCGGCGCTGAGCGATTGAGGCAATAAAAAAGGGGTGGTGAACAGGCGATACGCCACGTCTCTCTGCGCCCCGCGTGGGAGAAGGCCCAGAGAGCGAGGGAGGGAGAGAGAGAGAGGGAGAGGGCTGCGGCAATCGTTCAGACGTTCGAGATCTCAGCTGAGAAAGCTGATCAGTCGTAGTCATACTACTGAGTGATCCAAGCACGATGGCAAGCACTCCTAAGCAGCGCCGCGTAGCAGTTCCTCGTGTCGCCAGGAAGCTTTGCCAAGCACTCAAAAGTCGAGTAACCAGCGCGAACACATCAGAAGCTGAACGAGTCCTCACACATATTCCAGAACCTGATGCCGCCCTTCGGGATCAGCCTCCTGCGCGACAGACACTTGGCCTTGCAAGAAGGCGAGACCTCCGGGTGTAAGATGGCGAGGCAGGCATACGTAGAGCCCGAGCGGCATGATGCCACACCCTGTCGGCGTCCTGTCGTTAAATCAGTCTCCAGTGCCCAAGACGCGGTGACCGAGCGACCGTCCCAATTGCAGACGATGCGCATAGCGCTTGCATGCTGCATGGGCCGCATAGGGCGACTCATTCGGCAAACGCCTCGCCACGCGCCTGGGCGCACCGTTGGGCCACGAACTGCGTTGTGGCCCTCCAGGTTTGCAACAACGGTTAACGACGGGGACGATGACGTCGGCGACAAGTACGGTGATTCCAGCGAGCGAGAAGAGAAGTATGATGATGATGATGATGATGATGATGATGATGATGATGATGATGATGATGATGATGATGATGATGATGATGCTGATGCTGATGCTGATGCTGATGCTGATGATGATGATGATGATGATGATGATGATGATGATGCTGATGATGGGGACGCGCAGGAGGATTTCAGCGTCGGAGGATATACAGTGTTGTTGTCGAGGGGGGCGTGCTTGGCCGAGGTAGGGGGATCAGGAAGTGGAGGTGGGCAAGGAGGAGGAAGAGGACCAGTGTAAACCCAAGACGCATCAACGATGTTTCAATCGACCCTACCTCCAAGTTCACTATTAATAGCCCCTTACATGATTTTCCATTGCGGGAAATTCCCCATTGCAACACAACCTTTTTGAGAATCCCCAATCGCGCCAAAGCACCATTCCTGGGACGTCAGCGTCGCGAGTCAACCTGACTCTTACGGCCTGGCGATCATGGACCGTGCCAAATCACACATCTTGGGACTTCAACACCGCGAATCATCGTGATTGTTGCGCCCTGGCAATCCTAAGTCTTGCCAGACAATTCCTGGGACTTCGACCGTGCGGCTACTTGACAGTGCTGCGCATGTTCGAGACGAGTGTGCGCGGCGCTGGGGCGAGAGCCACATGTTGAGCAACAATCGCCCTTCAACCTTGTTGCTGCAGACTTTTAATAAAACTAATGTTGGCGGTGCTGGGGCGACGGCAACAGTTGGAAAACTGCTTGCCCTCCACCCGTGCAGTGCTGCAAACGTTTAAACACGAACGTGCGCGGTGCTGCGGCGAGGGCCACGCTTGAATGAACCCGCCCTCCAACCTTGAAGCTGGTGTCGGCTCTTAGGTAAAAGTGTGCGCAGCGCGAAGGCGAGAGCCGCAGGTTGAAACCGGTCCGCCATAGATCCGTGAACGTGCTGCACATTTCAAGCTTCAGGATCCGAAGTGGTTACGCAGTCTCAGGCGATACGCCTGGCCCGCCCCGCGGACACGCCTGGGGGGGGGGGCGACAAGGAGGGGTTATTTGGAAGGAGAAGGGATGGAGGGAGAGGGAGGGGGGGAGACGGGGGAAGCGGATGCGGAGGACATCTGGGCATCATGCGTGCGTACGTGCGTGCGTGCGTGCGCGCGTGCGCGCGCATACGTGTGTGTGTGTGTGTGTGTGCGTGTGTGTGTGTGTGTGTTGTGTGTGTGTGTGCGTGTGTGTGTGTGGGTGGGGTGGGGGGGTGTTGGGGGGGGGGGGGGGCGTGGGCGTGGGCGCGGGCGCGGGCGTGGGCGTGGCGCGGGCGCGGGCGTGGGCGTGGGCGCGGGCGCGGGCGTGGGCGTGGGCGTGGCGTGTGTGTGCCTGTGCCTGTTCCTATGCCTGTGCGTGGGCGTGGCGTGTGCTTGTGCGTGTGCGTGTGCGCGCGCGCGTGCGCGTGCGCGTGCTCGCGCGCTTGTGCGCGTGTGCGCGCGTGTGTGTGTGTGTGTGTGTGTGTCTGTGTGTGTGTGTGTGTGTGTGTGTGTGCGTGCGTGCGTTGCGTGCGTGCGTGCGTGTGTCGTGTGCTGTGCTGTGTCTGTGTCTGTGTGTCTGTGTCTGTGTCTGTGTCTGTGTCTGTGTCTGTGTCTGTGTCTGTGTCTGTGTCTGTGTCTGTGTCTGTGTCTGTGTCTGTGTCTGTGTCTGTGTCTGTGTCTGTGTCTGTTGTGTCTGTGTCTGTGTCTGTGTCTGTGTCTGTGTCTGTGTCTGTGTCTGTGTCTGTGTCTGTGTCTGTGTCTGTGTCTGTGTCTGTGTCTGTGTCTGTGTCTGTGTCTGTGTCTGTGTCTGTGTCTGTGTCTGTGTCTGTGTCTGTGTCTGCGTCTGTGTCTGTGTCTGTGTCCGTGTCTGTGTCTGTGTCTGTGTCTGTGTCTGTGTCTGTGTCTGTGTCTGTGTCTGTGTCTGTGTCTGTGCCTGTGCCTGTGTCTGTGTCCGTGTCTGTGTCTGTGTCTGTGTCTGTGTGTGTGTGTGAGAGTGGGGGGGGAGAGGGGCGTGGGCGTGGGCGTGGGCGTGGCGGCGGGCGTGGGCGTGGGCGTGGAGTGGGCGTGGGCGTGGTCGTGGGCGTGGGCGTGGGTGCGTGCGCGTGTGCGTGTGCGTGGGCGTGGGTGCGTGTGCGTGTGCGTGGGCGTGGGCGTGGCGTGGGTGCGTGGGCGTGGCGTGGGCTTGGGCGCGTGTGCGTGTGCGTGGCGTGTGTGGGCTGTGTGTGTGTGTGTGTGTGTGTGTGTGTGTGTGTGTGTGTGTGTGTGTGTGTGTGTGTGTGTGTGTGTGTGTGTGTGTGTGTGCGTGTGTGTGTGTGTGTGCCTGTGCCTGTGCCTGTGCCTGTGCCTGTGCGTGTGCGTGTGCGTGTGCGCGCGCGCGCGTGTTTGTGTGTGTGTGTGTGTGGGTTTGTGTGTGTGTGTGAGTGTGCGTGTGTGCGCGCGTGTGTGTGTGTGTGTGTGTGTGTGTGTTTGTGTGCGCGTGTGGGTGTCCAGATTCGTGGGGGTACGCGTCACACCACCATAAACCCGTCGGTTGGATTCGGAGGAGGAGGAGGAAGAGGAGGAGGGGCATGAGGAGAACGCAGAATATAATCATGAGAAGGAGGAGGAGGAGGACGAGGAGGAGGAGGAGGAGAAGGAGGAGGAGGAGGAGGAAGAGCAGGAGGAGGAGGTGGGGGGGAGGGGGAAAGGGGAGGAGGAACAGCAGTAGGTGGAAAAGGAGGACGAGGAGGACGAGAAGGACAACGAGGAGGAGGAGGAGGAGGACAACGAGGAGGAGGAGGAAGAGGAGGAGGAGGCATACTTATTGTAATGCGAATGCTAATGCTATTATTTTTTATTCATAATCATAATAATACCAACATCAGCAACAATGATGATGCCACGACTCATGATAATACGAGTACTATGAATTCTAAACAAAACAATGCTATCAATACTAGAAATAATAATTTCAATAATCGTATATATACTAGTATTAGTAATATTGAAACCAACAATAATAGTAATCCGAGTATTAGTAATCATAACAATACTAAGAAGCAAACTAAGAATCATAATAATATGGAGGAGAAGGAGGAGGAGGAGGAGGAGGAGGAGGAGGAGGAGGAGGAGGGTGGAGGATTTGGAGGCGGAGAGGGAGCAGGAATTGGAAGACCTGTGTGGAGGACGAGGGCGGCGATGTGGTGGAGGAGGACGACGACGAGGAGGCCCGGGCGCCTCCCGGCCGCGCCAGGAGACTTCAAGCCCGGGCAGTGGGTTTGCGATGCCCTGCCCGGGGCCAGCAGGACCGGGCGCACGAGGGCAGGAGGAGAGGCGGACGTCCACGGCTGCGGTGGGAGCGGTGGATGTGGACTCCTCCTTCTCCTTCTCCTCCTCCTCCTCCTCCTCTTCCTCCTCCTCCTCCTCCTCCTCCTCCTCCCCTTCCTCCTCCTACTCGTTGTCCTCCTCCTCCTCCTCCTCCTCCGCCGCCGCCGCCGCCGCCGCAGCCTCCTCCTCCTCCTCCTCCTCCTCCTCTTCCTGCTCCTCCTTCCTCTCTCTCCTCCTCCTCCTCCTCCTCCTCCTCCTCCTCCTCCTCCTCCTCCCTCCTCCCCTCTCCTCCTACTCGTTGTCCTCCTCCTCCTCCTCCTCCTCCTCCTCCTCCTCCTTCCGCCGCCGCCGCCGCCGCCGCCGCCGCCGCATCCTCCTCCTCCTCCTCCCTCTCTCCTCCCCTCCTCCTCCTCCTCCTCCTCCTCTTCCTGCTCCTTCTCCTCCTCCTCTCGTCCCTCCTCCTCCTCCTCCTCCTCCTCCTCCTCCTCCTCCTCCCCTTCCTCCTCCTACTCGTTGTCCTCCTCCTCCTCCTCCTCCTCCTCCCCTCGCCGCCTCCTCCTCCTCCTCCTCCTCCTCCTCCTCCTCCTCCTCCTCCTCCTCCTCCTCCTCCTCCTCCTCCTCCTCCTCCTCTCGGGGGCGGCAAGGCAAAGAGGGAGGTGATGCCTGTGTGTGTTTGTGTGGATACCATGGCGAGGGCCATGATAGTTCCCCAGGTTGCAAGTCGCCTCTTCTGGTTTCAACGCGTCCCCGGCCCCCCCAGTGTGGGCCGGGCCGCGCACGTGCCGCCGGCCAGGATCTGCGCCCCCCCCGCTCTCTTGGACGCCCCCCTCTTGGCCCCCCCCCGAGCAGGGGGAGAGGCGGACTGCAGCAGGGGCGGCGCGGAGGTAAGGACCACCCTGGGCAGCAGGGCGGGCGCGGGGCTTCCTGGGCCGCCCCCCAGGCCTGGGTCGGGGGGGGGGCCTCCCCGTGGTCGAGAGGCTCGCCGTGGTCCGGCGGCGACTGCTCCCTCGTGCCTCGCCTCTTGCGCTCCTGCTGGCCGCGCGTCGACTGTGGCAGGGGAAGCGATTTCGGGGCCAGCGAGGAGGGGGATGGGGGATCAGGGGGAGGAGGAGGAGGAGGAGGAGGAGGAGGAGGAGGAGGAGGGAGGAGGAGGAGGAGGAGGAGGAGGAGGAGGAGAGGAGGAGGAGAAGAAGGACGAGGAGGAGGAGGAGGAGGAGAGGAGAAGAAGAAGGACGAGGAGGAGGAGGAGGAAGAGGAGGCGGGAGGAGGAGGAGGAGGAGGAGGGAGGAGAGGAGGAGGAGGAGGAGGAGGAGGAGGAGGGGATGAGGCGGAGGAGGAGGAGGAGGAGGAGGAGGAGGAGGCGGAAGATGAAAAAGAGGGGAGATCCTGCCATTTTGCGTGAAGGTGCAGATGGGTAGGATGAGCTGCAGCGAGGTCGTTCCAGAAACGCCCTTAGGCAGAGTGCGAGCACGTCCTGCGTCGTTTGCGCGACGTGAGCGAAGTGTGAATGCACCACAGAGTAGTGAGTACATTACGCAGGTTTATATGCTCAAGGAGGTGTGGCGATCTCCGTGTATACAGCTTCCCCCAAAGTGAATGTTCCGATGAGGGCCTTTATTGTCCAAGTGAGTGCAGACATCTTGAAGACATTCTGAAGCGCCTGGATGTGCTGGTGGCACGATGGCGGATCACTATGCGCAGTAGGACTCGCAGCCGTAGGATCAGCAGCAGCATTCGCAACGGTGGGGGGCGACCTGGGGCGACAGTAGCAGCATGCGAAGAACCCCTACATGCAGGTTGCAACGGTAGCAGCATGCTTAAAACATTTTGTGGTGGCAGCAGCTGCAGAATCGGCATCATCAGCAGCCGTGGCACCAGTAGGGTATTGAATGAGCAGCAGCAGCAGCAGTAGCTGCGGCCAGATTGGCACCCGTAGCAGTAATGACAGCACCAGCAGCAGCGACAACGATCTGAGTTGCAGCTGTTTCAGCATCACCACTAGCATAGACCGCAGCAGCAGCAGCAGCAGCAGCAGCCGTAAAAGGCAGTTTGGCCACCAGTAGCAGCAGCAATCGTTTCAACGCGAATCGCATCAGTATTGCCAGCAATACCAGCAGCTGTATGATTCGCCATGCCATGCTAGCCAGCAGTGGCAGCACTCGTACCAGCGATGATAGCATGATCGATTGTAGCATCAGCAGCGCTAGTAGTGTCATTTGTAGCAGCAATCGAAGCAGCTGCCAGTGACACTGGTTGCAATGGACGTAGGAATCGCTGCAGCAGTAACGGCAAGCAAATGCGACATGCGTAGCATACGCAGCGGCACCATAAGTAGCAGCAGCAGCAGCAGCAGCAGCAGCAGCAGCAGCAGCAGCAGCAGCAGCAGCAGCAGCAGCAGCAGCAGTGATAGCAGTACTAGCTACTAGCAGTACCGACGGGAGCACAGGCAGCAGCAGCACTTCCACCAGCAGGAGCCTCCGCGGTCGCCGACGCAACTGCGGCCCTCCAAGACCGCCGCGGCGCTTCTGTGGCTCCTCGCCGTCGGCGCGGCCTCCCCTCGGGGGCCGGGCCCCCGCTCTCGGCAGCTGCGCTGGAGCACCTGGCCCTCGCGCTGTCCTCGCTCCGCTCCCTCACGGCACTCGGCTCGCGGGAGCCGCTGGTGCGAGGTGGTCCGCTGGGCGCACGCGACACGCTAAGGGTCTGCCACGACGGGCGGGCCTCCCCCAGGGAGGGTCCGCTCTCGCCTCCCGCCTGCTCCTTGGGCGGCCGGCTCGCTGCACAGCGGCGGCGGTGCCGGCCGTCACGCCGAGGGCATCCTGCGAGGGAGCGCCTCCCTCTCCTCCTCCTCCTCCTCCTCCTCCTCCTTCTCCTCCTCCTCCTCCTCCTCCTCCTCCTTGACGGTCCGTCTCCCAGCAGGGCTTTGGGAGGTACAGAGGCTCCGAGCGGTGTCCGCAGAAGACGCAATGGGTGCCGGGATTGCAGCTCCATCTCCCGTACACTTGACAGCACCTTTTATCGCACGAAAGCCGCGGGGCTTGCGGAGCAGATGGCTCAGGCATCCCAGGATGAGGCAGTCGGCAAGCAGCCTTCCACGCGAAGTACTCGGGCTCCTGTATGGGCACCAGCTGGCAGTATCGTGCGTACGCAGACCCACCGCGGAAATACTCGGAGAGCGCTTCTGACTGGGGTTCAGTGGGCGTCGGTTTCCTTTACACGTTGACCGCTCACTTTGTACTTGCTCTTCCAGTCTGACGCTGCGTATCGCGCATGGGCGGCCCTCCTCCCGACTGGCAGCAGACGGAGACGGTTGCAATGTACAAGGTCTCCCCCGGCCTGGGAGGGGGGTGTTGCCCGTGTGATCTGCGCTGCCTGCAATGCCTGGTCGGCGGCGAGCCCAGGGGGGAAGTGAGAAGGAGAAGGCCCGCAACAAAAAGGATACAAATAACAATGAGAAACAACAAAACGCCGAACAGAAACAATAAGACAGAAAAACAAAACAAATAGCAAAAGGGGGGGAATCAACAACAACAACAACAACAACCACAACAACAACAACAACAACAACAACAACAGCAGCAACAGCAACAGCAACAGCAACAACAACAGCAACAAAAACACAAAGAAGGAGAAGGCCCGCACGCGCTGGCGGCGCAGCACTGCTACCGCCCGGTGGCTCGACCTTCACCTGCGAGGTGCGGGCGTGGACGACGGGCCGTCCGTGCTCAAGTTTTCGTCAGCGCCCACGCTCTGTGTGCCAGCACGTGCCTGCTGTCCAGTCAGTCGTCGAGCCCGGGGGTATCCCGCAGCACGAGCTGGACAGCAGGCATTTCGTGGGCAGCGCGTCTTGGTGGTACGCGAAAGGACTTTCATTCGTTTTCACCCGCAGGACGCTCTCTGTGGCAGATCTCTTCCGAAACTTGGTGGAGTGGCCAAGGACGTTGCCAGCCTGCTCAACGCAGCGAAGTGGAGAGCAACACTGGGAAATGGTATTTACAGATGACAGGGTGGTGCGATACAGCCTGAAAGGTTGGCGAAAACCAAATTGTAGTGTTACAATTTCTGGCTGAATCCCTTGCGTGCGAAAGTATGGCAGGCGTGCGAGGATATCATTGCCAGCGCACGCCGCTGCAGACGATTCTCAAATGTATTCCCGCTGGTCAAAGTGGCAATCCGCTGGCTAAGGCAGTCCAGTTTTGTCGTTCACCAAAATGACAAAGAAGCGGGGTACACACTCGTGACCAAAGAAGACGATGCAAAGATAGACGCTGGTTTTTTGTTTAGAAAATATTAAAAGATACAAGAGACAAGCCAGAGAACGAATAGGCAGAGTATGTGGATGTCTTGGGGGGTCTTTGTTGCAATACCTTGGCAAACACTTATCGGCAACTTGCCCGTGGCATCGACACATGGGCTGGGCGGCCAGTGGGGAAAGACACACTTCGCTCTCTGTGTGCCCGGGTACACAGGCTCCAAGCTACACTGGCAACAGCTTGGCAAAACACAGATCTTCTGGGCCGGTGTCTTTTTGGCAACATCCATGCTCATTCTCGGCATGCGTTCAAGGGTCCAGCGCACCGGCCACGAGGCATTCTTCAGAGCAGGCTTCGTGAGTTCCCTCACCTCGTCAGGGACACCAGGGATGCTGTAGATAGGTGCCGCAGCCTCCGCTTGCAAGATGATGCTCATATTTGTACATGACTTGTTCGGGAGCTTTTTTATGTCAGGCTCGGAAGACGAGCTGGCGGAAGATGTTTCCGTGTGGATTGCTGTGCCCTTGAAATCTCCAGTCGGAACGTCGGTACGTTTACTCCTCCTCCTCCTCGGCGTCGCCCTCCTCCTCTCCTCCTCCTCCTCCTCCTCCTCCTCCTCCTCCTCCCCCTCCTCCTCCTCCTCCTCCTCCCCCCTCCTCCCCCTCCTCCCCCTCCCTCCTCCTCCTCCTCCTCCTCCTCCTCCTCCTCCTCCTCCTCCTCCTTCCCCTCCTCCTCCTCCTCCTATTCCTCCTCCTCCTCCTCCTCCTATTCCTCCTCCTCCTCCTCCTCCTCCTCCTCCTACTCCTGGTCGCATGTGTCGTGTGATGAGAGGGTCTGGCAGGGAGCTCCCCCATAGGTGGTGAAGTGGCCGACCCGGCCCTGATCAGTCGCACGGAGGGCTGGGCAGCACGCCTTAGGCGATGCTTAAGAAAGCTTAATTTTTCGGCCAGACTCTCGATTATTCTTAATGCTTCAGTGTAAATCCTGAGATTTGAATGGAAATTTTGCGTTTTTATTCAGGTTCTGAGACTCTGAATTTCTTAACCCATGATTTCTTAAGCATCTCGCAGGGTGTACGCCGTTTAGCCAGCGTCTCGTTGCGACAATACCTCCGCTTTAAGGATGACGTCGTGACGATTGGGCAGGCTCGAGCTTTGGGTCATATTTTTCAGGAACCTCGGGGCCCGATGGGGGTACTTCCGAATCGAGGCAGATAAGTTCGGGACGTCTGATGTCGGCTGGTTGGAGGTGTGACTCGAAATTCAAGCCGACAGCGTGAGTCGCACCGCTATCTTGGTCCAGCGCGCGCGCTTTTTCTGTTCATGAGGCGTGGCCCCGTGCTCGACTGCGCGCTCTGGCACAGTTGTGCTCTCGCACCAGTCTTTTCCCGCCAGCACGCGACGAATTCATTTCCAGGCTGTCGACACCTTTCTCGAAACTCCAAGCAGATCTAGCTACCTCCATCGGCGGCCTGGGCGGCGGGGTGCCCCAGAGGGAGAGCAGGCCACGTGGGCGGGCCGCTTGGATGCAGGTAGGGCTTCGTGTCCGCTCTTCGCCGGTGCAGCCTCCAGGACTGTGGCTCGGCGTCCGAAGGACGAACTCTTGCAGGCTTTTGTGCGCCAGGCCACGGGCAGGGTTCTTGACAGCAGAGTGCAGTTTTAGTTAGACGACTGCCGTCGCGTGCGCAGGCTGTCTTCGGTGCCGGGCAGGGGCAGGCGGGCAGGAGCACCGTTGCTGCCACGCCGCGGCCCTCTCTTCGGCGGCAGGCCCTCGCGTGGGCAGAGGCGAGGGTGCAGCATCGCCCAGCTGACCCTCCCCGGGAGTCTGGCTACACGCTCCCGCAGCCCGCTCGCCCAAGGAGGTGGGTGGCCCTCTTGATGCACGGACGCTCCTCTCTCGCAGCATCGCCCAGCCGACCCTCCCCGGGAGTCTGGCTACGCGCTCCCGCAGCCCGCTCGCCCAAGGAGGTGGGTGGCCCTCTTGATGCGCCGGCCGCTCCTCTCTCGCAGCGGGCGCCCGCCACCGGAGCAGGCTGGGCTTCGGCCTCCACCGGGCGGCGTGCCACAGGACTGACCAGGCCGTCCTGCCTCCCCTCCTCCTCCTCCTCCTCCTCCTCCTCCTCCTCCTCCTCCTCCTCCTCCTCCCCCTCCTCCTCCTCCTCCTCCTCCTCCTCCTTCGGATCCGCCGTACTTTGGTGGGTTTTGCAAGTAGGGCGGAAATTTCCGCCCTGCTCGTTGAGCTCCTTTGATGCCGATTCTCGCCCTACTTTGCCGTCGCTGTTTTCGCCACACCTCTGCGGAATTATCCGCGCTATCTCCTCCTGAGGTCGACATTTCTGCCGTATTTTTTCGCATCATCTGGGGTGCATTTACGACACAACTCCAAGTCGGAAAATCAACCACAGTACGGCGGATCCGAAGTCAGGGCTGCCTGAGCGCGCGCGTGCACCGTCGCGCGCAGCCGCGGCGGTGTCCTGGCAGCCCCCCGGAGGGCGGGCTTGCGGGCCAGCTCGCGCTCCGCGGGCGCTGGCCACGTCGGGGCGCCGTCGGGAGTTGGGGCACCGGCCCGCGCTGCGCACGATCTTTGCGAGCAGCGGCGGGTGCACGAAGCGCCGGACGGAGCAACACCGCGGGGCTGGGCGAACTTCGGTGGCGCCAGGTCAGAGGACGCACTGGAGCAGTGGCCTCTGCTGCCCCTGCGGTCGTCGCCGCCGGCTCGACGACAAGACCCAGGAGCTGTTCTGTCACCCGCGGTTCCAGAGTGGTCCGTCGATCTGGTTTGTGATGTGCGCTTTCTCTGTGGCTGTCGTCATGAGAGGCCATTTTCTATCTGTGGTCGATTGGACCAAATGGGAATCCAGACATAGCGTTTCTGCCCGTTCCCCCTGGCCTCACTTCTGTCCTCCTCCTCCCTTCCTCCTCCTCCTCCTCCTCCTCCTCCTCCTCCTCCTCCTCCTCCTGCGCCTCCGCCGCCTCCTCCTCCCGTTCTCCTCCTCCTCCTCCTCCTCCTGTGGTCGGTAGGGTTTGAAGCAACTGGTGCGTGCGATGATTTCTGTCGGCAGCCACGCTGTCCGCTCTCCCTCCTCGTCGTCGTCGTCGTCGCCGTCGTCGTATTCGTCGTCGTCGTCGCGTTCGCCCTCTCCAGTTTCGCTAGCGTCGTCGTCGTCGTCGTCGTCGCGTTCGCCCTCTCCTATTCGCCGTCGTCGTCGTCGCTCTCTTGCAGCATGCAGATGCAGATGCATCTGCATGCTGCAAGAGACAAGCTAGTAGGCTTCGGGCTTCCTTAATCGATCTGCGGTCTCTTTGGAGAGACAGGGCCGTGGTAGAAGACGCAGCGCCATCCCAATGATCATTTGCTATCGCGGTAGCAACGCTGGTTCCAGTATGAGCACCCGAAATTTGCAGCGGCAGTGTAGCAGCAGTTTGGGTGGCGGCTATAGGTCGCATAAGTCTCGTCGGCAATTCCAGCAATGAGCTCAGCAGGGTCATCAGCAACTGTACAGTTTGCAAGAACAGCGTCGCAACATGACCTCCTTGAGTTTCATTGACAGCGGCAGCAACACCAGTAACAACAACAATCGCGCTGTTCGTGGCAGGCACAAGTAGCAATCGAAGCGGCCGCGTAGTAAAAGCAAAGGTGGTACCAACACCATAGGACACCATAGGCAGCAACAGGTTTCAGCTGTAGTCATTGTTATCGATTCGTTAATATATTTATATACAGGATTGCGAGCATTCGCCGCATCTCCAGACTCGTAATCTGTTTCATCCCATGCGCGTGAGTTGCATGTTGGCAGGGGCGGGCGGATGTCCAATATGTTTGCTGCTTGCTGTTTGCTGAGCCACATCAGGTCATGTGGTTTCACGCGGCGACTCAAAACGCTGTGTTATTTTCGCGCAGGCAGGCGTTCGGTAGTTCAGCGTCCAGGTTTAGTCTCCAGGGGCTCTCGAGCAGGCCGCCACCTATGCTGACGGACATGTGTGTAGCATGTTGACGCTGACCGCAAGCGGTTCTAGTCTTGCAACGTAGTGTTTTCTTCTCTCTCTCTCTCTCTCTCCCGCTCGTGAGCCCCCCCCTCTCTCTCTCTCCCTCGTCTCTCTCTCTCTCTTTCCTTATTCGGCGCACGTCTTGCCCCACTCGGCCTCCCATGCCCCCCTCTTTGCGGCAAAACGTGTTCGCGGGATCGCCCCCGACTAGGCCCATCGGAGGGCTGTCGAACGCCCGCGCAACAACAATGGGCGTGGTTCGGCCACCATCGGTTCTTCGCCAGATCCAGTCTGCTCTTTTGTGCTTCCCTCGAGCGGTGCAGGGAGGCAGAGGCCGGAGAGCACTGATTCTACGCACATCGTAGGTGTCTAGTTCTTGCATGGGGACCTATCGAGTTTGAAGGTTCTGGCATCCCTTCGTCTCCCAATATTTCTTGGAAGGGTGAGGCATTGACGTAGTCAGCAATGAGCACGCTTAGACAACAACGATGTGTGCACCAATGTGGTCCTCCCATGAACTCTCCTCCCGCACGCTTCTTGTGGAGTGTGGGGGAGGTGGGGGAAGGGGACAGAGAGAGGGATATGGACCACGCTGGTGTGTAGAATAGGGGCCTCCTGCGAGGGTACAGCATGGCGTGGTAGGCAGCAGTGGGGAACCTTGCAGTTGGAAGCGAGTGTGCATGTTCGGAGTACTTGGTCCGCTATCAGCAATGCTTGCAGCAAGAGGGTGTGCACGAGCAGACATGCGAGCATTAGGAAGGGCAGATGCAGAACCGAATTGTTATCTGACAGGGCCAAAGGCGAGTGA